AATCCAAATCAAGGTTCAGGGGTGCATGCCACCATTGTGGCAAAGAAGGCCATATGAAGAAAAATTGTCGAGTTTGGAAGAGATAGCAAAATGAAGGAAACAATCAGAAGAAATATGATACTGGCAATACCACTACTGTCATATGTGGTGATGTACCAGAAATATTATCTGTTGGTGAATGTCTGCATATGGGCAACTCTGACAGAGACATTGAATGGATCTTTGACAATGAAGCTTCCTTCCATGCTACGTCCAAATAGAAGTTCTTCAGTACATACAAAGAAGGTGACCTTGGCATAGTGAAGATGAGGAATGAAAGCTATTCCAAAATTCTTGGAATTGGTGATATTTGCCTAAGAACTAATCTCGGCTGCCAGTTGATGTATGTCTCAATCTGATATCCATCGGTACCCTTGATCGACAAGGTTATTATCACCATATTGGCGAAGGAAAATTGAAGCTTACTAAAGGCTTAATGGTGGTAGCAAGAGCACGACTTTGTTGTATGTTGTACCGGTCAAATGCCAAGGTTTTGAAAGGTGAGTTGAATGCTGTGGAGGACTCATCTCTAGACTTGTGGCATAAGAGGCTAGGCCATATGAGCGAAAAAGGCCTACAAGTTTTGGCAAAGAAGTCTCACATTCCCTTTGCCAAAAGTACGTCGTTAAACTCTTGTGAGCATTGTTTATTCGGAAAACAAAGAAGAATTAGTTTTTCTGTTCCATCTACAAAGAAAGGAAATTTGTTAGATCTTGTTTATTCAGATGTGTGTGGTCCCATGGAAGTCGAGTCACTTGGAAGAAATAAATATTTTGTTACTTATATTGATGACGCTTCACGAAAGGTCTGGGTGTATTTGTTGAAATCCAAAGACCAGGTGTTTCAGACATTCCAGGAGTTCCATGCCATGGTGGAGAGGGAAATTGGGAAACCTCTCAAGTGCATTCGTACCGACAACGGCGGTAAGTACCCATCTCACCAGTTTAGAGAGTATTGTGTGAAACATGGCATACGTCATGAGGAGATAGTTCTTGGAACTCCACAACATAATGGTGTTGCTGAAAGAATGAACCGAACCATCATGGAGAAAGTCAGGTGTATGCTAAGGACTGCAAAGTTATCTAAGCAGTTCTGGGGTAAAGCTGTAAGGACAGCCTGTTATTTGATCAACCGATCTCCATCAGTACCATTAGGTCTTGATGTTCCGGAGAAAGTATGGACTGGTAATGATGTGTCTTACTCTCATCTGAAGGTGTTTGGCTGCAAAGCTTTTGTGCATGTGCCCAAAGAGCAGAGATTGAAGTTAGACTATAAAGCTACACCGTGCATCTTTCTTGGTTATGGAGGTGAAGATTTTGGTTACAGATTATGGGACCCATACCAGAAGAAGTTTATCTGAAGTAGAGACGTGGTGTTTTATGAAGATTAAACAATTGGGGATTAGGATAAAGAGGCATAACCAGATGGCGCAGTCAGAGGAGTTGATCCATTAGCTTCAGATGAAGAAAGTCATGATGACATCCCTGAAGCAGCTGCAAATGAAGTGCCTGCAAAACCAGATAATGCTGATCAGGGGGAGCCTGATCAAGACGTGACAGACCATGAGATTGCTGATCAAGGGGAGCCTAGTCAAGAAGAACAGATTCAAGAAGAACCTAATCAGGATGAGCCTCCAGCCCTGCAAGAGCATGAAGATCAGGTCAGAAGATCCAGCAGAAGTCGAAGACCGTCTACCAAGTATTCTTCATCAGAGTATATCATGTTGATTAATTATGGAGAGCCCGAAACTTATAAGGAGGCCAAAGCTCATAACGACAGTGATAAATGGATGAAGGCAATGGAGTCAGAGATGGATTCCTTATTAAAAAATGATACCTGTGAGCTGGTGGAGCTTCCAAATGGCAGAAAAACATTGAAAAACAAGTGGGTATTCAAATTGAAAAGGGACGACAACATGACAAGGTACAAGGCTTGTTTGGTTGTCAAAGGTTTTGGTTAAAAGAAAGAAGTTGACTTTGATGAGATTTTCTCACCGGTGGTGAAGATGACTTCCATTCGAGTTATCCTTGGTATGGCAAGAAGCATGGATCTTGAGCTAGAGTAGTTAGACATTAAAACTGCATTTCTCCACAGCAACTTAGAAGATGAGATATATATGGAGCAACCTAAAGGCTTTGAAGTCAAAGGTAAAGAAACTTTGGTGTGCAAGCTCAAGAAAAGCTTATATGGTCTTAAGCAGGCTCCGAGACAGTGGAATAAGAAGTTCAACTCATTCATGGTGAGTAATGGGTACAAGAGAACTCATGCTAACTCTTGTGTCTATATCAAACAATTTTCTGAAGGTAAATTCATCATTTTATTGCTTTATGTTGATGACATGTTGATTGTCGGTCAAGATGCTTCTATGATTAAAAAGCTCAAATAAGAGTTATCTAAGTCCTTTGACATGAAGGACTTAGGGCCAGCCAAGCAGATTTTGGGCATAGAGATAATTCGTGACAGAAAATCCAAGAAGTTGTGGTTGTCACAAGAAAAGTATGTTGAACGGGTACTTGAAAGGTTTAACATGAAAGCAGCCAAACCAGTAAGCTCACCTTTAACCAATCATATCAAGTTGAGCAAAGAGTCGTGTCCAAAAACATATGAAGAAAAGGAGAAAATGGCAGTTGTTCCCTACTCTTCAGCAGTAGGAAGTATCATGTATGTAATGGTGTGCACATGGCCAGATATTGCTCATGCAGTAGGTGTGGTAAGCTGGTTTCTCTCTAATCCAGGGAAGGTGGGAAGCTGTTAAGTGGATTCTCAGATATTTGAAGGGGACTTCTAAGATGTGCTTGTGCTTTGGCGGTTCCAAACCAATCTTGGAAGGATTTACAGATGCTGACATGGGAGGTGACCTGGATGTTAGAAAATCTACGTTTGGGTACTTGTTTACTTTTGCAGGGGGAGCCGTGTCTTGGCAATCCAAGTTGCAAAAGTGCGTTGCTTTATCCACAACCGAGGCTGAATACATAGCTGCTACAGAAGCATGCAATGAGTTATTGTGGCTTTAGCGGTTTCTCCAAGAGTTGGGTTTGAAGCAAAATGATTATGGCGTTTATTGTGATAGTCAGAGTGCTCTGGATTTGAGCAAGAACACTACATATCATTCATGCACTAAGCACATTGATATTCGTTATCATTGAATTAGAGATGTTATCGAGAACAAGTTGTTACAGCTGAAGAAGATTCATACCGATAATAATTCTTCAGACATGTTGACAAAGGTAGTCACAAAATCAAAGTTGGAATTCTGCATTAAGGTTGCTGGGATGGACTCCAGGTAACTTGGAGTCATGATCGAAATTCCTCCCTCATGGACTGAAGGGGGAGATTGTTGGTATATGGTCCAGCCCAAGATGAATGTTCTAGATTATTCTAGTAAGCAAGTGAGATGGCTGGAGCATGCTAGACAATTCTAGCATGTTATTAAGTTGATGGAAGAAGCTAGAGAGTACTAGCTTCCTTGGTTGCAAATGGAAAGATCTAGAAGCTACAATTTTGTGGCCAGTCTAGATCTTTCTATGCTAGAGGTTTGAAGAATACACTAGAAACTAGTAGAATGCCAAACCCTCTCCTATAAATATGGGTGTCATGTTGTAGTGAAGTAACCAATTAAGAACCAAGTGTGAGTAGCAAAGGATCAAGTCCAAAGCTAGAGTTCCACTCCAAGAGTGAGAGTGAGAGTGTTCCACTACATAGTGTGAGTGAAGTTTAGTGTGAGAGAAAGTGTTGTTATACTTTCTTGTATCCATCAAGCCTTGTCTTTGGCTTGGTAAGACCACTCTTGTTGTACTCATATTTTTCATATAGTGAAGATTGATCCTTGTTTCGTGGACGTAGACATAAATTGCCGAACCACATAAATTCTTGGTGTCCATTTTCTACTTTACCTTGTGCATTCTCTATCTTGTAGTACCGACATTCCTAACATTTTGATGTGAGTCTGTTTTGAAGTGCTTTTAGAATTGCTAAAAGTGTGTTCGGACAACTAAAACTGTTTTAAATGCATCTGTTGTTGTGGGCTATTTGTTGAGTTTCTTTGCTTGGAACTGAAGACTTGGATGTTATATTTCAACTGAAATACTGGCCTTTTTCTTTAGACAAGGCCAAGGTGGTAGAGAGCTAAGGTCATCTCCAACCGATGGCTGGTCAGATGGCTCGTTTTAGCCCTCTGGCCCTCCAAGATATTCCAAGATATTGATATTTTAATGAACAGTACATGGCCATATTTGCCTCCGTCTCCAACCGAGGGTCGGAGGGCTCGTTTTAGCCCTGTCACAAAACCGTCTCCAAATGAGGACCAAAGGGCCATAGGGCCAAACATAATTTATTATTTAAAAACTACAACAACTTAAATTTAAAAACTACAACTTATATTTAAAAACTACAACTAAAATTTAAAAGGACAAATTAAATTTAAAAACTACAAATTAAATTTGAAAACAACATTAACTTAAATTTAAAAATTTTGTGAGGAATGGTGAATGAATGGTTTAGGTATTGATAGGAAAAAAATATATAATTTTTGAGAATTTAAAAAAAAAGGCCCAAAAAAATCTAAAAAAAAAATATTGAATCCAACTGTAACTGGCGCCAGCTAGCCGTTGGATTCAAAATTCTTTTTAAGAACTCCTGTCGATTATAACTGACAAGAATACATATATTGTATTTAATGTAAATGTATTACTGTCGGTTATAACTGACAGGATTAAGCAGCTTTATGGCCAGCCCTCCAGCCCTCTCCGATTCCGTAGGGCTCTCTCAGATTCCACAGCCTTTTGGCCTAGCCCTCGGTTGGAGACGGTTTTCGGGCTATTTTAGGCCCTCTGGACCCTTCGGTTGGAGATGGCCTAACCATTTATTCTAGGTATACGGCTTTTATTCCAGGTCACCTAACTATAATATACAACGAACTTCGTCTTAATAGTGGTTAATTTGTGTACTTCGGAACATTTTTCTTTTGTTGGAAAGAAGTATGATATTCATTAGCGTTATGGAAGAATATGTACAAGAGAGGATGGGGTGCACCACTGAAAGGGACCTCAGTAAAAACATTGTTGGGGATTTCAACCCAATCGAAGGAGAATAGAACTCTGCACGCCAAAATTACATAGTATGACCATCCTTTACAAGGAGATGTACAATCATGTAAGTTCCTCAAACCAAACTACCTCTATGCAAAATGCAGTTAGCTTCCCTGTTCACATGATTGTATTTGACTTGTTGAAAAACGGCCATGAATGATCATTAAGCGCAGGTCCAAGCAATGAGGAGTCAGCAGAGGAATGCTTTGAGGAATCACTTTCCAATGCCTGCAAGTTCTCATGGCTTAGGTGAAGATAATCAAAATTTGTGGGGAAGCTTCAGTAGTGGTATGTTGATGGTGGACATCACGCTTTTAGGTCCTACAGAATCCCTGAAACGATAGGTAAATTACCTATTCAGCAACATCTCTATGACATTGTCCTAGATTAAATTTTCCTAAGAAACAACCAAATAATGTATATTAAAGCCAAACAACAAACCTCATGAGAAACTTATAGGTGACCTCAATTGATGCTCTTTAATTTGGCTTGCCTATGCTCAAGTCTTACTATTTTCTTCGAAAACTTGAGCAACAAAGATAAGAAAATTATGCGCGATATCGAATTTGGTACGTACGTATGAATAGTTACTAAAAAGTGCTTCATAAATTAGTAAGATGATGCACGATAAGTTTCCTAGATGGTTTATTGATATCATAACTTTCACTCGGTCGTCCTGCAGAGAAATTAAAAATGAGTAGCTGAAGTTAAATAATCCTTTAAATATATAAAGAAATAAAATTACCTTTTAAAAGAAGATTAATATGTATGCCTAACTCGCGAGTCACCGGTTGATCCACATTACTCATTTCCTTTGAAGAAGAAAAATAAGAAAATTAAACAAATATGATGATAGCATACATAAATGCATAAATAAGATAGATAAAGCATACATAAGTGCATAAATAAGATAGACAGAGCTCAATTACCAGTATGATGAGATTTTGATGTTTGGGATGTGAGAAATCTTGGGCCACTCCTCTCCATTGCTTTGTTCACATTGCTTTGAAAGCATGGGACACTCCAAAATGCTAAGATCCTGCAGCGGTGTTTTGCAGAGGAAGTCTGGTAGTGTTTTTATGCCTTTGCAGAAACTAATTTTTAAAGAGGAAAGGCATGGCATGATTGAAATTTCAGAATCCTCTTTGTTCCACCCTTCTACGCCTACTTCCCACTCTTCCAACGCTGACATGATGTCGATGCTGAGTTGTTTCAACTTTGGGAAAAATGAGGTGGATGATGATGATGTCAATGACGTTTCATCTGAGTCAACTATTCCCAAAAACTCACCACCAATCTTTTCCACCTTCCCCATGCTCATTATACTCAGCTTTTCAAGGTTGGGCAATTTCCCAAGAGGAGGCAAAAACCTGCACTCACTCCATTCAAATAGATAGATGATTCTTAAGTTGTGCAAAGACATCACCCAATTGGGGTAGGTGGTGCCCGAATGATACCAAAAGTCTAAGGATTCCAGATTTTCGTGCGGTCGTAGCCCATTCAGTATTTCTACAGTGCTTCTTGTCTGCTTGTATTGAACATGCTTACAATTAATTTGGAGATGAAAGAGTTTCTTCATGTCCCACGACTGTGCTTTCTCAAGCTCTCTCTCATTTTTCACATTCCCCTTCAATCTTATGATGAGACTGCCCTCAAGGTTGAAGACTCTCAGATCTCCCAGTTGTAATGCTACTCTGTCCTCACCCTCACCACAAACCACAACACACATATCAATTGTTTTCAATTTTTTTAATCTCCGAATCCCTTTTGGCAAGTACTCCAGCTTATTACAACCATCAACATAAAGGTGCTTTAAGCTAATCAACTTTCCCATGTTATCGGGTAGTTTTTCAAGTGAACGACACAAAACAAGGCGCAAGGTATACAAATTGTACAACTCACAGATACTGTCTGGCAATATCTCCAAACCATAATTCCATGACATATCAATATGCCTCAAATGTATCAATTCACTAATTTCCTTTGGGACTTCAATTAAGTGACTTTTACTCAAATTTAATGTCCTAAGACATTTCAATTGTAGAATAAAATTTGAGTCTATCTTAGTAATGGATGAACCAAAATATATGAGTGAACGTAGGTTTTTGCGATTGTAAAATGCATTAAGTGGTGGGAGTGGCAATGGCTCACCATGTTCCGACCTAAAGATTAAGGTCAAATGACGAACCTTTTCACCCAAAACCTCTATTTCACTATTAATACTATCAGTTTCGATGATCAAACATTCGTTCTTGGTGAGAGATTGCACAAAGTCATGAACAATATCATGCATTTTGCAACCTATAATTTTACCACTAACACTATCTTTCTCCAAATCTTGAAAAAAAGACCGTGCTACTAAGTTATCAAAAAATGCTTGACCAACTTCTCCCTCATCTTTATTCCCTTTTGAATTAAGATATTCTTGTGCCATCCAAAGATTAATCAACTTATCCCTCTCAAAACTATAATCTTTTGGAAAACTAGCACAATACAAAAGACAACATTTGATTGCTGGGGCCAAATCATAATAACTTAGAAAAAGTGGTTGAAAAACTTCTTGCTCCACCTCTTCTCGATCCCATATTTTACTATTCAAGACATCTAGCCATTCCCTCCTTGTTTTCTTATTATACATGAGACTACCTAATGCTTTTGTAGCAAGAGGTAAGCCCTTGCATTTCTTCACAATATCCTTACTAATATCTTCAAACGCCTTAGACTCATCTACTTCTGTATCAACAAACGCCATGTGATTGAAGATTGATAAACAATATTCTTCACTCAACTCTCCCAAATTGATCATGTCACTTCTTGCTCTCATCATATCAACAACATCATGTTGTCTTGTGGTCACCAATATTCTACTGCCATGAGCACCACTTTGAATTAGTGATGCCCTTAATTTTTCCCACTTTTTACGATCATGGGTCCACACATCATCTAGGACAAGGAGAAACCTTTTGCCCTCGATGGATGTTGACATGCGGTGCAAGACACGATCCAACTCATTTGAGCCTTGGGCATCATCACCGCTTATAGCTTTGGCAATCTTAATCTCATCAAAAGGATCTGAGACACAAACCCACACTCTCTTTTGAAAATAGGCTTTAACCTTGTCATCATTATAAACAAGTTGGGCTAGAGTCGTTTTTCCCGATCCTCCCATCCCTAGAATAGGGATGATAAGGAGCCCCCTCCGATCTTCTCCACCATCACTCAACAACTTTGTTATCAGAATGTCTCTTTCCTTTTCTCGACCAAATACCTCTAACATGATGACAAAAGACGAAGTCTTCTGCCGTTCAGGTAATTGTTGAATGCCTCTTTCTATGTGTTGAAACCCATATCTTTTTCTTTGCTCATCAATCACACTTAATTTATCGTTCAAATCTTTTATCTTACTCGCAATGTCATGGCGAAAAATCACCTCTTTGGTTTTGCGAAAACAAAAGCAGCTAGAGGAAACAGAGAAAGTTACCTCCTCCTCCTTCTTCTTCTTCTTCTCCTTAGGAACGACAACATCTTCACCTTCTCGTTCTCGTTCTTGCTTCTCAACCTGTTGTCTCAGCATGTCAGTGTTCCACTCGTCCAGCACGTCCACCATCTGGAAGGATATGTCTTTGAGTTGAGCCAACCAGATCCTCACGCTGGCCTCCTTGACTTGCCTTTGCTCAGCATCTTCGAGAACGGCTTGAATAGCTCTGAGATTGCCAACAAATTCTTCAACATCTTTCTTAGCGTTCAAAACAAGTTTCACCTCTCCAGCTACGTATTCATAAGCTGTTGAAGCCAGCCGCTCCAGTACCATGGAATTGATCCCGTCAGCCATTTTTCAGCCTCGGAAATTGATGGACAGTAGAAAAAGAAATATGAAGTCTATAGAGAGAGAGAGAAGAAGAAGAATGCAGGATGGATGGCCTTGGTCTGTGCTATTGCCTTTCTTCTACCCGGTTTATATAACTCCAAGTCAATCAAACCAAAAAAGTAAAAAAATAAATAAAAATTCAAGTCAATTATCTGTTGAATTTTAATTTTCAGGGGACACTCTGACTTGATTGAAGGATCTCAACCGTAATAAATTCATATGTTAAGCCACCTTTACTTACCGATTCGTATGAATAACATTTTTTTAGTGATTTATACAAACAAGATGAACATATATTAGTGACATTTATTTGAAAGTTTCGTCGAGACTCTTTTTCCTAACCTTTAAAATTGAGGAAGATAAATAGAAAATATAATCAAGTATGGTTGATATTTTATTGCTGGTATAACACATCATGGTCGTTATAGAATGAAAATCACTATCCGTTGTTGTACTTATATGTAATCCTCAATTTCTGGCTGGCATATACAATGATGTCGTATTCTGTGTGGATCATGGATCTTATGGAAGCCAGCTCAACTGCAACCATACCAGTGTACCACCAGTTTCAATAACGTAGCCAGTGTTTCCTGCACCGTGAACTAACAGTTGTGATTCTCATTGACAACGAAAATGACCATCCTGTCCTTCCTCAGAAGTATAGTATTGGTAGTCCTCAAATTATACTCTGTTTCAATTCTAGAAAATTGTTAAGCATTAGAGAAAAATACAACCGTCGTACAAACGTACACCTGTAAAAAAGTAAAAATATTATTTTTATCATATCTTTCATGTCATATTTGTATCAACTCTCTAATAAAGATGAGAGTTGTTTGTATTGATGGATCGTATCGCTATTAGAAAAAAAAAATACAAATGTAATATAAACACTTTAATAAATGTAACGTTACTTGTTAAAAAGCAATCAAGCACATGTCTTCGTCATCGCATATTTTCGTGCATCACGTGAACGTCAAAAACAAATCAACGTTCTTGACGCGAAACCTTTCACAACCTTTCACACCCGGATTATATAGTAATTAGTGACTAAATTATCAAGGCAAAACTCCAAATCAATCTTACGTGTAATATTGCATATTAATTTCCAACTCCACGTGGACAAATAAACCTACTTTGATTGGGTAAGTATGAATACATTTTTAGAGAAGACACAGTTTAATATTATAATAATTTGAATTATTGTGCATAAAAAAAATCTTCAACCACCGGGTATTAATTGTATTCTCTTATTTGTTTTTTTATGCAACTTTTCTCAGGTATTACAAAACTATTAATAAAATAGTCTAAATTACAACGTCATTAGATAGATTCTAGCATACAGCGCGACGAGTACAACAGTCCGAGCGATAAAAATAAGGAGATAGCAAGACAGTAAAGCAGGCTATGCAAGAAAATCTACAATCATGTATGGAACCTCCAATCCTCCTTAATCTGCAGATCTTTCTTTAGCCCGTGCCAACTGGCGACAGTGCTCAGTGCCAACTGCAGGATTTACATAGAACTCATCTTATTTTAATTGAGAATTGAATCATGTGTTGTTTTAATTATTATGTTTGTGTTTTAATCATTATGTACGGTGCATGAATTTGTTGAACTAGAGTACTTTGTTATATTGTGAGTTTGAACTATTATTTTTAATAGATGTAATATTTATTAAATTTTAATTGTCATGTTCTAGGCGTGTTTTTATTTTTTGAGTTTTGCAGTGTTGCTTTGTTCACATGATTGTATTTGACCTGTTGAAAAATGGCCATGCAGGATCTAGGATAATAACATCAGCTTTAAGGAATTAATTTCCAATGCCTGCAAGTTCTCATGGCATCGGTGAATATGATCAAAATTTCACTTGAAAATCCAGTAGGGGGAAGTTGATGGTCAAGATCAAGCTTTTTGCTTCGATAGAATCCCTGAAACCATAGATGAGGATTCCCGATTCAGCAACAACTCTAAGGCATTTTCCTAGAACTAAATTGTCCAAAAAACAACTAAATTATGTAGATTAAAACCAAACACCAAACCTCACGAGAAGCTTTTGGTGTCTTGATGAAATCTGAAGGTGAATTTAACTGACATCCGCAACTAAGATAAGAAAACCCTGTCCGTGACTTGGAAATTTGATATCGAATTTCGTATCGTAGGAGTAGTTACACATACTGATGATTAGTTACGTAAAATGTCATCATCAGTCGGATGAATGCATGATAATTTTCCTTAGATGGTTCATCGATCACAACTTTTCACATTGTCGTCTTGCATGTAGGTGAAGTTAAATCATCATAATTAAACATGAAATCATTTGAAGAAATATAGAAGAAGTAGAAGAAGACAAATATGAAAATTAAACAAATGTGATAATATCTAGACCTGATACATAATATCTTAATAAGATAGATCTCAGAGGGAGCGTTGGGGGAGAGCGAAAGGTGCAAAAAAAAAAATTTGTCATCTAATATTATGTAATAATGTTCTATATTTTGAAGAATTGCTTTTATGAGCACTTTAAAATCTCATTGTGCACTCCTTAAACCATCTCTAATCATTCGGTTAAAACCTAAAATTTTTAACTCAAAAAATTTAGGTTTTAATTCAGAAACAGGTTTTCTCCTCTGTAACAACCCGTCCCGAGATTTACTGTACATAAATGGTATTTTTGTATTTTCATCAAGTTTGAGAATTTATCTTCCTTTTAAAATTGTTTTAGTTCTTAAATGGTGAGCCACGTGGGGCCCACCTTATGATTTTTTTGGTGTTTCCCGGTCTCTCTCTCTTCTCTCCTTCATTTTCTTTTTCCCTCTCCCGTAACTCTCTCTCCCTCACTCTCTCGGCCCTCTCTATCTCAACCCCTCCGAGAGTTTTCTTACCAACAGACATCACCATCATCTTTATCTCGTTGCTACGAACTCAACCATAGTCTTCGTATCTTGGAAATCGAACCTGGAAGCCTCGTACACGAGCTCCGACGCAGACCGGCGTCTTTCGAGGCAATTTCCGGCCAAACCACGGCGAGTTGGCCAGCGTGCAAGGTATCAATCTCTTCGTCTCCCTGAGTACTACAACTTTCCTGTTTGTTTCACTCAATTTCGTTGAGTATTAAAGAAGTTATACTCATTTGAATCTTACCCAGTTTCCGGCGACCTCCGAGGCTTTCGAGGCAATTTCCGGCCAAACCACGGCGATTTGGACGTCATGTGAGGTACCATTCTCTTCGTCTCTTCGAGGGCTACAACTTTCGTTTTTTGTCTCGCTTGATTTCGTTGAGTAGTGATAAAGTTATGGCCGTTTAAAGTTAGGTGGTTTTCCGGCCGAATTTCCGGCCTTCTTCTTCCTTGGCAACAGGCCACCCGGCCTTTCCCTCTCCCTCGGACCTTAGGCCCGTGTTGTCTTAAGCCCAAAACCCTAGCCCCTTTAGTTTTTTATGTTTTGTTATTTGGTTTTAAAACCCATAAGGGCTCGGGCCCTAGTTTAATTTGGCCCTGGGCCGGCTTGGACTTAAAGGGCTTAAAGCCCTGTTTATTTTTGTGAGGCCTTAAGGCCTTGTGCTTTGTGTGTGTGTGTTTTGGTGGAGTGTATATGTTTGGGCTTAAGCCCAAACCTCAATTCTCACCCTAAAACCCTTTTAACCCAAAACCCTTAGAGCCCTAAAAGCCCAATAAAATCCTAATCCTATTTAACCTAAATCCTAATCCGGATTTCAAGCCTAAAACCCATTAGACCTAATTTGACCGTTAACCCCCGGTCAACGTTGACTTTAGAGTTGACTTTTCGGGTTTTCGTCCGGGACCCTTCTTAGGGTAATTCGACGTTCTGAATCCATTTCCAATGTGCGTTTTCCCAAATTCAATTGTTTAAGTAGAGTTTGACTAAATGTGCTATTTATGTGCTTAGGGGTAATTATTGTGACGTTTCCGTCTTCGCTAGTGGCGCAGCTTTTGGCGGCTAAGTACTGTGAGTGGACCCCTTCTAAAATTACATGATTTGATAATTTAATTGCATAAATGATTAGCATGCCTACGGATTTAATTTGATTTATGTGAAGCTGGTTGATTTAATATATTGATTATCGTCTCGTGTTTTGGTGAGGAATTAATTGTGGCCTATATTGAGCTATATTTTGATATATCGTATTTTCTATAAAAACCATGAACTGGTAGACTATCTGATAGATGACGATAGGATGCTAGAACATGTTTTGAACCCCTCTTTATAGTGTAGACGATGATCGATAACCTACGCTATGAAGTGGTATTTACGAGAGGCGTAACATTTTGTGCGTACCTAGTGGACACTATGCCGCCTGGGGCGAGGATCTGGTGTTGGCATTTAGGCCGGGAGAAATAATCCCTAGCTACGGGCTGAGAGACATGAAGAGGCATTGGGCCGGGTGGTAGTTATCTCTGGCTATGAGCGCAGAGACTTAGGTGCAGGCATTGGGCCGGAAGTTATAATTATTCGGTGATCTTACTAGCAGCACACCGCGTTTACGAGACGATTTATGAGACGTTTACTGTTTTGATTTCCGCGAGATATGGCTTTTGAGATATTTTTGGCATGCTAGGATTTTTATTAAATCTATCATTTATTATGCTAGTAGTTTTCATTATATAAACTGTGGGGGTTAGTATTTTGATAACTGTTTTTATTATTATTATATATATATATATAAACTTGGTCCACTCACCTTTGTTTTGCGCCCCCATTCAGGACTTAGAATCAAGGCACCTAATCCCGGCGTGAAGGCACTTCCGCAGCAACATCTTCAGATCTTTTCGATGTAGGACCCACTCTTTTATTCATTCAATTTTATCTTAATTCTTTTTAGTGATTAGGTTTAGTTGTATGCTCTGAACACATTCCTAAATGGTTAGTTCATTGTATTGAAATTTCTAACCCTTATTTATTTCTTATTCTTAGCTTTTATATCAATTAATGGCTTTCGTCACCCTCGGGTGTCGGCCAGCACGTGTCTATCCTGGTATTCGGGGAATATCAGGGTCGGGGCGTGTCATCCTCCAACCCTTATGGGTTAAGTTTTTAAATAATGAATTTAGGATTTTTTTTTCTTCTTAAAATAACTTTAAAAATAAATAAATTATGTAGACTATTCTAATTTTTAAAAAAAAATTGTTTTGATTTAAATGGTTGTTTTCTAGTATCAATATATTGTCATACTTTTTGTTTTAACTATCTTAAAGAGAGGCCTTTTGACAAGTATTTGCAGATTAGGACAACGATCAACCACCACAGAGGCGTAAGTTATAGAAATTGTACAACTCACAGCTATTGTCCGGTAATATCTTCACGTTATAATTCTCTAAAAAATCAAGGTACCTCAAATGTACCAATTTGCAAATCTTTTTCGGGACTTCATCGATCAAACTTCTACCTATATTTAATGTCCTACAACATTTCAGTTGTAAAAGTGAACCAAATTTTGTGAGGGTATGAAGATTTTTGCAATTTTAAAAAGCATTAGAAGGTGAAAGTCGGCAATTGTGCATTGTCATTATTACGGTCAAATGACGAACCTTTTCACCTAAAACCTCTATTTTATTCCAACACCTTCAACACTAATGACCAAACATTTGTTTTAGGTGAGAGATTGAACAAAGTCATGAATAATATCATGCATTTTGCAACCTATAATTTTACTACTAGCACTATCTTTCTTTAAATCTTGAAAAGACCGTGCTACTAAATTATGAAAAATTGTTTGACCAATTTCTTTATGATCTTTATTCTATTTTGAATTAAGATAATCTTGTGATATCTATATATTAGCTAAATTACCTCTATCAAACTCATAGCACAACATGAAATACAGTATTTGACTATTGTGACCAAATCATAATAACATAGTAATAGTGGTTGGAAAACTTTTCGCTCCACCTCTTTTCAATTCCATATCTTACTATTCAAGACACATAGTCATTAACTTATTTGTTGCACATGAGACTGTCTAAATCTTTTGCAGTGAGAGGCAAATCTTTACGGTTCTCACTCAACTATTTTTTTACTAATATCTTCAGACGCCTTAGACTTGTCTACTTGCCTAGCAAAAAACACCATGTGGCTGAAGATTGAAAACAATAGTCTTTACTTAGCTTTCCTAGAATTATCAATAGCAAAAGAGTAAGAGTAACAAAGATGCAAGGAAAAAACAAAGTAGACAACTCTCATCGTTTTCACTTGTTGCTCTCATCGTATCAACAATGTCATGTTGTCTTGTGGTTACCAATATTCTACTGCTTTTAACACCACTTGTAAGCGATATCCTTAATTGGTCCCACTTTTCAGGTAGGTTCACACGGCATCTAGGACAATGAGACACCTCTTGCCGTCAATGGGCGTTGACATAGACTCCAAGACATGGCTCACCTGATCCATTGAACTAGGTGTGTTATCACCGCTTATGGCTTGGCAATCTTATTCTCATCAAAAGGATCTTTTCCTTCAAAACCTAAGAATTAAGTAATTCGAACTTTTAAAATTTAATCAAACTGCTAAAAATTATTATAGTTTTTATAAGTTTTTATTAACTTATATATTTTTAGCCGTTAAATCAAATTTCAAATGCTTAGATCACTTGATCCTTGAGCCTTGGAGGGAAAGATCCGGAGAGGATCTCTTTCCTCATCAAAAGGGTCTGAGACGCAAACCAATATTTTCTTATCAAAACAGGATTCAACATTGGCATCAATATGAGCTAATTGGGTCAGACTTATCTTTCTCACTCCTCCCATCCCATCCCTAGAATAGGGATGATAAGGATCACCCTATCTTCTCTACCATCAATGAACAACTTTGTTATCAAAACATATCTTTTTCGTTTTCTCGGCCAAACACATTAGACATGTCGACAAAGGGAGAAGTCTATTTTTGTTTAGGTACTTGTTGAATATCGTTCTCATTGGGTTGAAACACAAGCGCGTTTCTTCTTTTTGCTCATCAATCACACTTAACCTCTCATTCAAAGTTACCTCTCTTGCTTTTCGAAAACAAAAGCAACTAGGGGTGACACAGAAAGTTAGCTTCTTCTTCTTGCTCTTAGGAACGACAACAATTTCAGCAACTCGTTCCTGCAGCTCAACTTCTTGTTTCAGCATGTCAGCGTTCCACTCGTCAAGCACGTCCCCCATTTCGTAGCGTATATGGCTGTGCTGCTGCTGCCATTGCCTTTCTCTGCTGCACCATACCACCAGTGTTCAATAATATAATGGAAGCCATCTCAGCTGCAAGCATACCACCAGTTTTCAATAATGGAGACAAAGTTTCCTCCACCCTGACCCAACAAAACAAAGGTTATTCTCGTTGACTAACAAAATGACCATCCGGTCCTTTCTCAGAACTCAGAAGTATGGTATTGGTAGTCAAATTATACTAATGGTTTCAATCTAGAAAGTCGGAGATGGATTCCATCCGGATCTAAGTTGTGAAGATTTTATGAATCCTCACATACTATTTGTTTATTGTACATTACGGTCAGAAATTATTTTAAATTTATTTATTTAAAATTAAACATAAATAGTACTTTACGAAAATTTATTACATGATGTATGAATGAACGATCATGACGTGATAATTCTTAAAATCCTCATAAAAAGCGGAGAGGATCCTCATCCTCGAAAGTTGTCAAGCAATAGAGAAAAATACGAGTCTTACAAACGTACACATACTATTGGCAGAGTAAAAAAGCAATCAAGCACCTTCATCATCGCATCTTTCCGAGCACCACGTCAACGTCAAAAGGCAATTGAAGTGATATATTCATTGACTTGGAAGTTTTTGTGTTTGCATTAGGGTATAGGGTTCCATATGCATTGCATAACTTGCATATTAGGTGACGGAGCCGATCATCCAAGCAAACAAGAGGACTTTTGTCACTAAGAATAGGTCAAATCAAAATAAACCAAAATGTCAAGCTAATCACCGATTGTAGGGTTCGTGTTTGTACAAATAGGTATCTCCTTGCTCCCGTGTCACTGCCGTTTTCTTCCTCTCTCTCTCTCTCTCTCTCATATTTCTTTAATGTCACTCACTATGAAGATGCAAAGATGACTATATATATATAGAAGTAAAGATTTTTAATTACCAAAATTGCAAGTCTTAAGAAGATAGGGAGTGATATATCAAAGCAACACACACAATGAGAGAGATTAGTGGGTCAATTAAGACCATCAAAGTATATGTGGTTTTACTGTTCTACACAAATTTTTATTCCGATTAAACTGCATAAATAGCAGTCATGTAGTTCACTTTATCAAGAATATTTATCACTGCAATGAAAATCCGACTCTCCTCAACCACTATCCGATATCGCTCGTATAAATAAATTAAGTAACATGAAGGTGAGGGCATATAGCTAACAAACCTATCTTTGAATAATTTAAGGACCTTTGTTATTGCTAAGAATAGGTCAAATGAAATAAACCAAAATGTTAAGCTAATCACCAATTGTACGGTCCATGTTTGTAAAAATAGGTATCTCCGGTGTCACTATATGATCTTGCAGTGACACCGGGACAAAAAGTTTCTCGTTAGTGTCACTCACTATGAATGCAAAGGCTACTTACTATATATTCTATTAATCACCAAAATTGTTGTAAGTCTTAGCATAACAATGGAGAGCAATTTATTTAGAAGGGGTTCATAACTATGTGTCGTCCATGCATGTGATGAAAATCCTGTATATGTTATTGTTTTATTAGAACATGACGCCACATTGAATCCGATTTTTGTAGTCCTTCTCATGACAAAGTCATATATCAAAGGAGCTCAATCCATCTCCAATGTTGCTAAAGGTCTAAAAGTCAAAAAATGACCTGATTTGCCTAAAAACTTATCTCCAATGAATGGCTAAGTTATAAATATATGGAGCCCACCTGGCCATTTTTGGCCAAAGGGACATCAGGCTAGGTAATTGCAACCTCCCTCCCAACCTGTTTCCTGAGGCCGAGCTGCTATGTTACAATAATTGATTCAAATTTTATGATTGGACTTAAAAGCATCCAACGGTTGGGTTGGTAACGGCTAGCTGACGTCAGCCAGCCATTGGAATTTTTATTATATATATTTTTTCAAGCTGAATTAAAAAAAAAATAAATAATCTTTTTTCCCTATAAATACCTATCTCATTTGTACACTATTTCTCACATCATTTTTACCTTGACATACTATCTCCATTTTTATCTAATTTTTCACATTCTATTCACTTCCAACACTATTTTCATACACACACCTCTCTTGCCTCTTCCAATAATCTAATTTACATTTTTCATTAATTTTTTTCAAATGGTTATATTTTCAACCAAAGGAAAGGGTTGGATCCCAAAAGAAGATGAAGCTTTTTGCAAGGCTTATAGTTATATGTGAGCCTCTAAGGGGAGTGTCAAGGGTATTGTCAATCAAGTGAAGGCCTTTGGACTCGTATTTCCAAAAAATATTATGAGTCTCAATGAAAAAACAACTTTATCCGAGTTTGAACAAATGACATCAAGCCTTAACAAAGGCTGAAATGAGACATTAAACAAATAGAATGTTTGAAAATTTATAACAAACTTAAAATTCAGCTGGAGATGGTATATGAATATGGCTTGACACTGTTTATTTAAAAATAATTTTTGTGCATGCCTATAATTTTAGACATGACTATGTTTAGCCCATTCGATTAGAGATGGCCTCACAAAATGAGTAAGTTAGTGGGGTTATATAAGATCATCAAAATACACGTGGTTCTGTTGTGATAAATAATATGTAATTCAATTGATTAAAAACATTCATCCTTCATATGAGAATCCAACTCCTCACCCACTATCGCTTGTACAAAAAAATAAGTAAAATGAAGGGCTATGTTATCCATATATTTTCTTTTACTTCTCACACACTTCTTATTAATTTATGTCATTTGATCTTCAATTCATCCGATCTGATGAACGAAAATTAAAAAAAAAAAATTAAGAAGTAAAAAAGGAAAATGAAAGTGAAAGTGATGGCATATGGCTAAAAAAATCCTATCTTTGAACAATTTGTTGACTACTTAGCACATGTCACAAATTATACAAAAGTAAGTTTTAGAAAGCAGAGAGTTCAACTAGGAAGCATCATCGAAACGCGGTCTCCATAACCAGACAAACCAATTCACCCGCCATAGTCGCACAGCTCCCACCACCACCAACAATGGCAGTGACGGACTTCTTCGTCGGAGAGATCATCACGGAGCTCCTGAGAACCTTAATCGCCATCTCCCGCAAATCATGCCACAGCAGAGGAACCGCCGAGGAACTCAAATCCTTAGTTGAGCAGCTCTTCCCCATAATCCAAGAAATCAAGTACTCCGGCGTCGAGCTACCGGCCGAACGGCAGTCCCAGCTCGACCGCATGTCGGAAGTTCTCCAGAACGGCCTCGAATTGGCCCGAAAGGTCCACGCGACACCGCGCTGGAACTTTTACAGGCACGTCAGATTGGCGAAAAAGATGGAGGCTTTCGAGAAGACAGTGTCCAGATTTCTTCAGGGCCCATTACAGGTCCATATCTTGGCCGACGTCCACCACATAAGGGCGGAGGCGGATCAGCGGTTCGACCGGCTTGATTGGTCGAACCGGATGCTGGAACAGCGGCTTGGGACTTTAAAGATTGGGACTTGCGGAGGCGGGGGTGTCGGTGGCGGGTGGATGGAGGAGGCTGTGAGGAGGGTGGAGGAGGAAGGGCAGATGAAGTGGGAGGTGAGCAGTTCTGTGGTGTTGGGATTGGGGGTGGGGATGAAGACGGTGAAGGGAATGATTTTTGGGAGGGAGGATTTGAGGGTCGTTGGAATTTGTGGGATTGGTGGCTCTGGAAAAACCACTCTCGCTAGAGAGCTTTGCAAGGATGATCAAGTTAGATGTAAGTAACTAAGTGCCTGTTTCGGATTGCTTATTTGTCATCGTAATCGATTTTGCTAGAAGTGCTCTTATTTTATTACAAACAAGTTGAATTTTTTTTTGGAAAATTCAATTGCTTTTCAGATGATATAATCACTTTTTCGCCAAACGTAGTTAGAAGCGTTTTTAGGTGAATTTTCCAAACTCTGCTTTGTTTTGCTTCTTTTGAGAGTGTTCTTTAATGGGTTTTCTAAATTTGCTTTAATGGGTTCTCTAGAATTTGAGTTTTCTTTAGAATCAAACGCTGACTCCGTTTTGTGCTCATCTGATCGAATGCAGCTTATTTCAGTGAGAGAATTCTGTTCCTGACGGTATCACAGTCTCCAGATGTGAACCAGTTGAAGGCCAAGATTGTGCAGTTCATCATGGGGAACCAAGTTCTCAGTCCCAATTCTGTGCTTCCCCAATGGAACTTGCAATACGAGTGGATCACCCCAACGAAAACTCTGGTGGTTTTGGATGATGTGTGGTCACTGGCAGTGCTTGAGCCGCTGCTCTTTAACATCCCTGGCTGCAAGTTTCTTGTGGTCTCACGTTTCAAATTCCCAAACGTTCTCGATGCCACTTATGATGTTGAGTTGTTGAGGGAAGAAGAAGCACTCTCTCTGTTTTGTCACTCTGCTTTTGGCCAAAAGTCGATTCCTCCGGCTGCTGATAAAAATTTGGTCAAGCAGGTACTATCTTAGTGCCCGTTTGCAATTCTTTCCGCTCATAAGCGCTTTTGCTAGAATACAATTGCTTCTTTGAAAAGCTCTAAAAAGTGATTCTATAATGCATAATCACTTTCTAAGTTCTACTGCTAAACATAGTCATAAGTCTCCAATCTCCATTTTCAGCTAATCAAAATGGGTTATTTTGTGTTTCTTTAGATCGGTAACTGATTGTTTTCTTGAACTTTAGATTGTTAACGAGTGCAAGCGGCTTCCTTTGGCTCTCAAAGTGATTGGAGCTTCATTGAAGGACCAGCCTGAATTGTGTTGGGCAAATGCAAGGAGCAAGTTGTCGAAAGGGGAAGCTTTTTGTGAGTCCCATGAGAACAATCTACTTAAACGTATGGCAACGACTCTTGACTGCTTATCCAAAAAAGTTAAATCATGTTTCTTGGATTTGGGTGCGTTTCCAGAAGACAAGAAGATCCCTCTTGATGTCCTTACCAATATGTGGGTTGAAATACATGGCATCGACGAAGAAGAAGCGTTTGCTATTCTTGTTGAGCTTTCAAACAAAAATCTCCTCACCCTGGTGAAAGATGCAAGGTACGATGCTTAAAGTTCGGTACTTGATTTCTTTTACTTGAGTGTGATTAGTTTCTGTTTTGAACCCTTTGTTTATATTAATGTTGCAGAGATGGAGACATATATAGCAGTTGCTATGACATATCTGTTACACAACATGATGTGCTGAGGGACCTTGCTCTTCATTTGAGCAGTGATGGCAGCGTGAACGAACGCAGTCGATTGCTTATGCCAAGAAGAGAGACTGAACTTCCAAGAGAATGGGAGAGGGATTCAGATCAGCCATTTCACGCGAAGATTGTATCAGTTCATACCGGTATTAACGTGTCTCAGTAATTGCATTATTGATTCTGAGGTTATTTGTTATGTTTACTCTTTCGTGCTGATTTAAACGGATTCATCCCTCGATAATGCAGGTGAAATGAAAGAGATGGACTGGTTCCAGATGGAGTTTCCCAAATGTGAAGTGCTGATTTTGAATTTTTCATCAGATGACGAGTACCTTCTTCCTCCTTTCATTGAAAACATGCCAAAGTTGAGGGCATTGATAATCATGAATTACAGTACGTCAAATTGCATCCTAAATGGCTTTTCAGTCTTCTCAAACTTAACCAACTTGAGAAGCCTCTGGCTCGAAAAAGTATTTGTCCCTCGGTTATCTTCAATCCCCCCGAAAAATCTGAGGAAAATCTATATAATCCTATGCAAGATCAGTAATAGCCTTGATCAATCCACCTTTCCTCGGCTGACAGAGCTCACAATCGATCATTGCGATGACTTATTCCAGCTGCCTTCGTGCATTTGCGCAATGCCTTCGCTCAAGAACTTGAGCGTAAGCAACTGCCACAGCCTATACCAGCTCCCAGCTGATTTGGGAAAGCTGCAATCTCTACAGATCCTAAGGCTATATGCGTGTCCGGCACTGCAGACACTTCCAGCCAGCATTTGCGAGTTACTTCGCTTGAAGTACATTGACATTTCCCAGTGTGTAAATTTGAGATGCCTTCCCATGGACATTGGTAAACTACCAAGTTTGGAAAAGATTGACATGAGAGAATGTTCACAAATTAGCAATCTACCGAAATCCGCTGCAATTTTACAGTCTCTTCGCCTCGTAGTGTGCGACGAGGATATTTCTTGGATGTGGAGAGACGCAGAGAAGGCATTGCCGGAGCTTCATGTTCAGGTGGTGGAGAAACATTTCGATCTGGACTGGCTCGATGAATGAGCAAATTGTTGCACCATTACCAATATTAATTTGTATGGATTTTGATGTAAATGGTGAATCATTTGTTCATATGAAGTTAAATAATAGGAATTGAGATCCTCTTCAGATTTCTGTGTCCGGAGTTAAGGATCAGGAGATCCAGACGATTCATTTTAAATTTTGCAACTCCCATTAGTCTATTTCACCGATCCACCTCACACAAACTAAGGGTGCGAATCGTTCTTTGCAACGGCTCGGATTTTCTTGTTCTTAAGCTTCAGATACAGAGATCTAAAGAGGAGATCGATTCAAATAATAAGGAAAAAAAAATTAGAGGATTATTCTACATGTGGTGTTTCGGTGGTTGTGTTTTCTTTGAAGACGTCAGAAGTGGTCGGAAGTGCCCTCTTTAGTGACAGTCAACTGATGATAGGCGGCTAAGAAGCAACAAAGTGACTTATTTCACAAGGACTTTAGCTTGAAGCCAAAAGTTAGGACGAGCACTTTTGAAATATTTGTAACATCTGATTGACTTCAGCTGGGGTCCAATTCTATTGAGCTCACATAAGTGTTTGAATTAGTCTACCCTCTTCCCGCGATTCCATCCATCCCACTTATTCCCTCCCCTTAATACGACTTTAGCACACTACACCACACCCAATATTAAAAATAATTGATTCATTTCAAGATTTTAAAAGACGTTAGGTGCTAGTTAGAATGATAGGCAGAGATCTAGCGTCTAGACGGTTATCATATAAATAAGTGTTTATTCATGCTTAAAAAACCATATACTTATAATGTATTGAGAATTTGAACAAATGTAAATAAATTGTAGAGACCTAATGAGTTTATTGGGGAAAAGAGACATGCAAAGCATAAGGTACATCGAATATCAGCTTCAATACCCTCCAGCTTAAAGCCAAAATATCATCACTTATTCACCAAACACAATATAAAAAAATAGAAGGAAAAAAATGCTTCTTTGACTTTTCAACACTTTCCTACTTCTAGTCTAGTCCCACAAAAAAAGTTGCAGTGCATTAGTTTCTCTCTCTTCGTACTTATCAAAGTTCGGCGATCTAGGTTTGAGAAAAAACCAGTATTTTTGAAGAAAATTCATAAATTCACATTTTTCATTTGTAAATTTTTAAAATTGGGTTCCAAACCATCGTTCTGAGTTTTGATTGTTGGGTTTTGAATCTTTCTATCTGGGTTTCTTTGTTTCGGTTTCATAAATTGTTGGGTCTTTCTTTTGATCTGGAGGTCGATGAATGGTGTGTACGAATGTGCGATTAGGAACTTTGGGGTTCCTCAAAGCTTTTGGTTTTGTAGGATGCACAGAGCTTATGGGTTTCAAGTTTGAGATGAAAGCTTCTTGGTTTGCACAGAGAACTTCTGGGTTTTTGGTTTTGTACAAAGCTTCCGGGTTTCTAGGTTCCGACTAGCATTCCACCTAGCACCGCTAGACCGCCTAGTGCCGCCTAGGCGGCGGACTAGACCCTCCCCGATTTTATTGAACATTTTGTCCAAAATCGTCACGGAAGCTCACCACTAAACGTCTAGGTCGATTTTTAGAACATCGATGAATTTAAACTTCTGGACTAACTTAATAACAACTGTTGATTTTTTAAATCATTATTGTCAAGATTCACCTAAAATATTTTTTTTTCTTTTTTGCAAAACATTCAAGGGAACTTTATTGATAACGAAAAAAGAAGTTACACTAATGTAAACCTAACCTCCTATAATATAAGCAAAAAAGATATAAAAAACATACGTAAAGAAGAAAGGGATATAAATTCTACCTCTAGAAACGAAAACAATAAAGAGACATGAAAAGAACAGGGCAACATGAAACCTAACACTTCTAAATCCAAACCCAAAGATTCAAACCTAAAGGTCTAAACCTACAAAGCAGATCGAGCAACATCACAGGGTTAAGTAAAAAAAAGAAAGTGAGATAAACAAGTATTCCGAGATGCATATTAATTTGAGAAGCGGAAACCAGTAGCCAACATAATCTATATGCCGAGTTCACATTGATTTAATAAGCGGAAGCCATAGAAATTAACATAGTCCGAACAAGCCACTGGCGAAGGGGGAAAATCATTTAACTATTTCATTATTGTACTGAGCAACAAAATATTACGTCTCTCTACTAGTCCAATCCCTGTTAAATAAGTAAACTCTTTTGATTTGACTGAATTTTCGCAAAAAAGATCTTTCAAGAAAAACTAAAATTATCAATTCATGTCATGAGAAATTTTATACAATGAGTCAAAGAATATTCAACACCAGTTATTAACTTGGTTTATGCATCTTTCTCAATTATTACAAAACTATTAATAAAATAGTCTAAATTACAACGTCATTGAGGAGATTCGAGCATACAACGTAATGTGTGTAAGAGATAAAAATAAAGAGATATATCGTAAGATAGCAAATCAGACTATGAAACCATATTATATATGCAATGAACCTTTATTTTCAGTGGTGCTTTATCTTGCCAAGCTTGTAAGTGTGATGACCCAAAAGAAGATTTAAAGCTGCCGGATCCCTTGGCAGAGGAAGCTTGCTGCAAATCTATGAAACAATTTCTGGTTTTTCTTCCGAGGCTAATAACAACGATAACACAAGGCTACAAAATTGGAATGAGAAATATGGGCCGGTTTAATACAATGAGCCCAAATAAATGCATTTTATAACAAGGGTTGGAATGAAATGAGGGGGGAATAGATGAGAAAATTTAGAACTTACTCCAAAGGTTGGAGTTGGTCTAAGTTCTACCGCCAAACGTGGCCACAAGCCTCCAATCTCCATTTTCTGCTAATCAAAATGGGTTATTTTATGTTTCTTTACATCGGTAACTGATTGTTTTCTTGAAATTTAGATTGTTAACGACTGTAAGCGTCTTCCTTTGGCTCTCAAAGTGATTGGAGCTTCATTGAAAGAACAGGCTGAATTGTGTTGGGCAAATGCAAGGAGCAAGTTGTCGAAAGGGGAAGCATTTTGTGAGTCCCATGAGAACAATCTGCTTATCCAAACAAGTTAAATCATGTTTCTTGGGTTTGGGTGCGTTTCCAGAAGACAAGAAGGTCCCTCTTGATGTTCTTACCAATATGTGGGTTGAAATACATGCATCGACGAAGAAGAAGCGTTTGCTATTCTTGTCGAGCTTTCGAACAAAAATCTCCTCACCCTGGTGAAAGATGCAAGGTACGTGCTTAAAGTTCGGTACTTTGTTTCTTTTACTTTGACTGTGATTAGTTTCTGATTTGAACCCTTTGTATATATTGATGTTGCAGAGATGGAGACATATATAGCAGTTGCTACGACATATCTGTTACACAGCATGATGTGCTGAGGGACCTTGCTCTTCATTTGAGAAATGATGGCAGCGTGAACGAACGCGGTCGATTGCTTATGCCAGGAAGAGAGACTGAACTTCCAAGAGAATGGGAGAGGGATTCAGATCAGCCATTAGTAATTGCCTTTATTGATTATGAGGTTATTTTTTATGTTTACTCTTTCGTGCTGATTTAAACCGATTCATCACTCGATAATGCAGGTGAAATGAAAGAGATGGACTGGTTCCAGATGGAGTTTCCCAAATGTGAAGTGCTGATTTTGAATTTTTCATCCGACAACGAGTACCTTTTGCCTCCTTTTATTGAAAACATGCCAAAGTTGAGGGCATTGATAATCATGAATTACAGTACATCAAATGCCATCCTAAATGGCTTTTCAGTCTTCTCAAATTTTCCAATTTGAGAAGCCTCTGGCTCTAAAAAGTATCTGTCCCTCAATTATCTACCATCCCCCTGAAAAATCTGAGGAAAATCTATATAATCCTATGCAAGATCAGTAATAGCCTTGATCAATCCACCTTTCCTCGGCTGACAGAGCTCACAATCGATCATTGCGATGCCTTATTCCAGCTGCCTTCATGCATTTGCGCAATGCCTTCGCTCAAGAACTTGAGCGTAACCAACTGCCACAGCCTATACCAGCTCCCAGCTGATTTGGGAAAGCTGCAATCTCTACAGATCCTAAGGCTATATGCGTGTCCGGCACTGCAGGCGCTTCCGGCCAGCATTTGCGAGTTACGTTGCTTGAAGTACATTGACATTTCCCAGTGTGTAAATTTGAGATGCCTTCCCATGGACATTGGTAAGCTAGCAAATTTGGAAAAGATTGACATGAGGGAATGTTCACAAATTGCACTTTTGAAATATTTGTAACGTCTCATTGACTTCAGCTAGAGTCCAATTTTGTTGAGCTTACATAAGTGTTTGAATTAGTCTATCCTCATCCCGCGGTCCCATCCATCCCACTTATCCCCTCCCCCTAATACGACTTCAGCACACTACACCAAACCCATTATTAAAAATAATTGATTAATTTCAAAATTCTAAAAGACTTTAGACGCTAGTCGGGCGGTAGGCAGGGGCCTAACGCTTAGGCGGACTAGACGGATTTAAGTAAATTTATAAAATGTCTTATAAATAAGTGTTTATTTATACTTGAAAAAACATTTACTTATAATGTATTGAGAATTTGAAAAATTGTAAATAAAGTGTAGAGACCCTAATGAGTTTAAAATTGGGTTTGAAAACATCGTTCCGAGTTTTTGAATTTTGGGGTTTGAATCTTTCTATCTGGGTTTCTCTGTTTTGGCTTCATAAATTGTTGGGTCTCTCTTTTGATATGGAGGTCGATGAATGGCATGTAGTGTATGAATGTGCAATTAGGAATTTTGAGGTTTCTCAAAGCTTTTGGGTTTGTAGGATGCACAGAGCTTGTGGGTTTCAAGTGTGAGATGAAAGCTTGTTGGTTTGCACAGAGCTTCTGGGTTTCTGGTTTTGCACAAAGCTACTGGGTAACTGGGTTTCTAGGTTCCGACTAGCATTCCGCCTAGCACCTCCTAGACCACCTAGTGCCGCGTAGGCAGCCGACTAGACCCTCTTTGATTTTATTGAACGTTTTGCCCAAAATCACCATAGAAGCTCACCAAGCGCCTAGACACCACCGAAACCGATTTTTAGAACACTAATTAATTTAAACTTCTGGACTAACTTAATAACAACCGTTGATTTTTTAAATCATCATTGTCAAGTTTCAACTAAAATAAT